GAAGGAGGCAAAAGGATTTTCCCCTGTATAACTTGGGTTCCTTTCTGGGTTGGGGTGGAAATTAGTGACACATTTATGTGGTCCAGGGTAATATGGATGTAAAAACAGCTATAGCCCAAGCTTCAAGCTAAGGAGATGCAACCTCTGATTTTATTTTGGCAATTTACTTTTTCCACAATTAACTCAGATTACCCACTCCTGGTTATTTTTTTTAAAGAAACAAAAATAATACAGTTAAAGCGTCTTCCCATCCCATTTCCATCCCTCTATCCCCTGAGGTGACTGATAATTCTGACGCTGATGTGTATCCTTTCCATCTATATATTTTACACTTTTATGCCACATTATATATGATATATATTGTTTTGTGTGCTTTTTAAAAGTTACTCAAATAGTAGCATACTATAGTCGACATTGAATCTTGCTCTTTTTCCTTACATTTTATTTCTGAGATTTAGCCCTGTTGATATATATAAATCTAGCTTGTTCCTGTATATGAATTACTAATTTTTCCATTCCTATACTGATTGACATTTGGGTTGTTTCCATTATTTAGATTCTTAAAAACACGTGTAGAGGTTTGCTTGTGCATACATGCAAGAGCTCCTCTAGAGTTTATTCCTAGGTGTTTTATTTCAAGGTCATACGGTATATACTTTTTTAGGTACTGAGAAATTGCCCTCATCTAAACAGCAGGGTATGAGTTCTCTTTTCTTGCTATCCTCTCAAACAGTTGAGTATCATCTTTCTTTTTAATTTTTGCCAGTCTAATGGAAATGAATTGATAGTTCACTGTTGTTTTTATTATTAGTGAGGTTGAGCATCTTTTCACATTTTTATTGGTCATTTGTGTTTCCTGTTTTGTGAAATACATGGTTTCATCCTTCATCTTTTTTCAGTTATTTTTGTTGTTGTTAGGTGCGTCAAGTTGGTTGTGACTCTTGGAGAACCCATGTGCAAAGAACAGAACACTGCCCGGTCCTGCACCATCCTCACAGTCGTTTAGGTCTTTAATCTGGCACGTATTTTTATATGTAGGATGAAGAAGGAACTAAACATTTTCCCACATAATTGTCACTTTTTCTAGTACTGTTTACCGAGTAATCCAACCATTCCTACGGTTGGTGATGGCAGTTCTCTTCTATACCAAACCGCCATGTACATTTATGCATGTTTGTTTCCCTGTTTCCTGTCCTATTTCATTTGTCTGTCTGGCCATCCCTGCACCAACACCACATTAGTTTTATATTGTAGCTACATCAATATTCTTGTTATCTGGTAAGGTCCATCTGTTAACTAAAAAAATACATCATTCCATCAAATTTTTTATGTGCACTTATCTTACAAATAATGCCAATTTTATTTCTTTCCAACGCTTATTTATTTTTCTTGTCTTACTTCATTGGTAAGGACTTTCAGTACAATGCTGATTGTAGAAGAAGTCACCTGTGTCCTTTTCTAATTTTAAAGGGAATTTTTTTTGATATTTTGACATTAATTATTAGTTAACATATTAAGGAAGCTTCTCTATTTCTAGATTGTTAACATTTTTAATAATGGATGATGGTTACATTTAACCAAATGCTTCTCCTGCATCTATTGAGATAAACATATTTTTGTCCTTAAATATTTCAATTGCCTACATTATAAAAATGTATCCTATATTTAAAAAAAAAATACAGACAGTGCTGAATTCAATTTGTCAGAATTTTATTTTGGATTATTGTATATGCATTTGTAAGTCCTCAAAAATCACCTTATTAGAAAGGGTTTCAGTGATCATCCTTATAAATGAGTGTCTTTCCCTCATGCATTACTCTATTCCCTCACTTTCTGTTCTTTTCTTCATAGCACTTATCATTATCTGACACATTACACAGTTATTTGTTTAATTGCTTATTCCCTGTCTCCCCCAGGAAAATATAAATTCAGTGAGAACAGAACTTTATTTTGTTTACTGTTGTACCCTTAGTACCTTGAGCAGAATATTTGTTTAATGAATAAATTCATTTGAGGGAATGAGTTAGTATATTTGAGTGACTAATGTATGAATGAATAGTGTTAATTAGCATATAATTGTTGTCTCTGTGTTTCTGCCTGGTTTTGATATCAAAGTTATGCTGGAACATTTTCTGTAAGTGTTTATTTATTCCTTAGAGTCCCTGGATGGCACAATTGGCTAAGCACTTGACTGCTAACCAAAAGGTTGGCAGTTCCAACCCAGAGATGCCTCAGAAGAAAGGCCTGGTGATCTTCTTCCAAAAGGTC